AGCGCAAGTGGCCATCGACTGAGGAATGGATACAGAGGATATTATGTGTACACACACACACACACACACACACACACACACACACACTGGAATATCATTCAACCATTAAAAAATGAAATCTTCCCATTTGCAATGACATAGATGGGGCTGGAGAGTATAATGCTAAGCGAAAGAAGTCAGAGAAAGACAAATACCGTATGATTTCACTCATACGTGGAGTTTAAGAAATAAGCGAAGGGGAAAAAATAAAAGAGAGAGAGACAAACCAAGAAACAGACTCTTAACTATAGAGAACAAACTGATGATTACCAGAGAGAGGGGGGTGGGGGGATGGGTTCAATAGGTAATGGGATTAAGGAGTGCACTTGTGATGAGCATAGGGTGATGTATGGCACTGTTATTTACTATATTATACACCTGAAACTAATATTAAACACTGTATGTTAAGTAACTGGAATTAAAATTTAAAAAGACTAGTGAGTTAAGTATGTTCATGCCCTCTGATTCAGAAATTCCACTCCTCAATTTATTTTAAGGAAAAGAAATCAGAGATATGGTATCATTGCAGTGTTTTTCATAAGAATAAAATACTGAATAGGCCATTAATATGTAACAATAGGGGATTGTCTAAATTATATACTATCATATGATTGTTTTACAACCATTAAAAGCCACTATTTCAAAGAATTTTTAAAGAAAGTAATTTTGAAGTCATAGTTTTAAGTCTAAAAAGCACATAGTTGGATATAAAGAACGAATTAAGTGTGTGTTTGTGTTTAAGAATACACCAGGGGCACCTGCGTGGTCCAGTCAGTTGAGCATCTGACTTCAGCTCAGGTCATGGTCTCGATGTCCTGGGATGAGCCCCACATCGAGCTCCATGCTCAGCGAGGAGTCAGCTTGCCCCTCTCCCTCTCCCTCTCCCTGCCCCTTCCCCCCTGCTCATGCTCTCTCACTCTCTCTCAAATAAGTAAATAAAATCTTTAAAAAAAAAAAAGAATATACCAATAGGGGTGGCTGGCTGGCTCAGTTGGTAGAGCCTGAACTCCTGATCTCTGGGTTGTAAATTCAAGCCCCACGTTGGGTGTAGAGATTACTTCAGAAAAATAAAATCTTAAAAAAAAAAAAGAAAGAAAAAGAATACACCAACAGTGTTAGTGATTATCTTTAGTGTAAGAATGCAAATATGTCTTATTTTCTTTTTTTTAATCTGCAGTAGTTCCCCCTTATCTGTAGGGGATATGCTGCAAGACCCCAGTTGGTGGCTGAAACACAAATAGTACCAAACCCTGTATATACTGTCTTTTTTCCTATATATCCATACCTATGATAAAGTTTAACTCATAAATTAGGCACCATAAGACATGAACAATAACTAATAATAAAATAAAACAATCATAATCACATACTGTCATAAAAGTTATATGAACGTGATCTCTTTCTCACTCAAAATATCTTGCCATACCGTACCTACCCTTGTTCTTGTGATGATGCAAGATGATAAAATGATGAGATTACTAGGTCATTGGGCTACTAACGACCTAACAATATGTTAGGGGGATCATCTGCTTCCAGACCCGTGGTTCATCATGGGTAACAAACTGCGAAAGCAAAACCGCAGATAAGGGGGGGAACTACTGAATTTCCCAAATTTCAACAGTAAACACATATTTCTTCTACAGTGAAGGAAACCAATACATGTTAGTTTTTTCACAAAAAGCTGGGTGTGAAAGCAAGGGGGGATATGGGCAGAGGTAGAGGAGGACAATAGTAGAGGGTACTGTTTTAGACTGAAGAACACGGGCATGGCATTACACGATGAGTGGAAATGTCAATGGAGAAGTAGAGGCTAAATGTATAGGAAGAAAAGAAGATAACTGACATCACAGGCTTCCTGAGGCCATGAGAGGCAATGAGACCCGGCTCTAGTAAAGGGGTTCACCTTCAAAAGAGAAGGGCACTTCTGTGGTTTGATGAGCGAGAAGGAAGTAAGGAGCTGTGCTGCCTTGTTGACTTTGCATGCTCGCTGCCTACAACAGTGCCTGGCCCTGAATGGAGCACGTAAGTTTATAGGTGAAGGAGAAGAAGGTTGGAGGATTTCTAGAGGTTGACTCCCATTTTCTCCAGTGAGAGAGCCACTCTCTAGTGCAGTGGTTCTCAAACTTGTACCAGAATGTATTATAATGTATTATTTTTGTGTGGGTCTGTATCCTTTTCTAAACTGTGAACTCCCTAAGGGCAGAAGAAATCATGTCTTATCTCCATATCTACCACACCATTCCAGTGACGGCCTGATGCAAGGTAGATGCTCAAGAGCTGTTTGTTGAATGAATGAATGAATGAATGAATGAATAAATGAATGAATGCAGTATGAGAGGAGACATAAGAATAGTGGTAAGGGTTTCATATAGCTTATGTGAGTGTTAAAGGGAGTTGACTAGTGACAAATAAAAGGCCCTGGGCAGCCTAAAGACAAAATTGCGTAGAGAGCATACCTCTGTACTTAAGAGGATTCCAAATAGAAGCTGGAGAAACTATTTATAATTACAAGTGATCCGTACTGCTCCCTGTCCAATATCCCCCATTCTTTGAACCTGCCCTGCACAAGTGTCTATGGGGCAGATGAGAGGAGAGAGACCCACCCAGCCCAGCCATCATAGAAAGGAGTGGTCCTCTAACTGCTAACATTCAGTTTTCTTTTGTTTAATTTGAACCTGTACAGACTTTTAAGCCTTACTAGGTAATACCTACCTTCCATAATAAATTGGACCGAGTATGTAGAAAGTCTTTTAAATTATTAATGACAGTACAAAAGCAAGGGACTATTATTTGGGGGATATTTTACTTATTTTTATATGCTGAAAGCAAGAGGTTGCCCCAAATTTTTAAATGCTTCAGGTCCTAGAATAGCTTCCTCCAGCCAGGTTTCAGGGTTCTGAAGCAGTCGTTGGCCTAAATAGGAACATTCCACCAAAAAGAGAGGATTGTATTTTTTCCCCAATACACATTTTTGCTTTAAGGTTATGAGAAAGGTGCTAAGAGAAGTGGTTTAAATGTGAGCGGAAGCTGACATGGATTAACTTTCATAGGATGCTCTGTAGAGGAGAGGGTTGGATCAGAGTGATGATTCACAGATACCATCGTTTGTTATTCCTTTTTTTTTTCCAAAACAGAATTGCATTGATGAAATTGAGGCCATAATCAGTGTTAAGCTCCAGCTCATCGGAATTGTTGGTATTGGGATTGCAGGTCTTACGGTGAGAAAGTTCTAGAACTTACCTTTTTTGCTTTCTAAGAAGGCTTTGCATCTTATTTGTCTTCAAGTGTGATACGGCAGTATCTGAGAAGAGATTTCTCGTAAAAGACAGACGTTTGTTGACAGGACATCTTCTAAGAACAAAGCTCATTTGATATAGCAATACTCAGTTCTCTAAAATATGATACCAATTTTACCTTTAACCTAATTATGACCTTGAGTTGATCATTGCAATAACTTCCCACATTAAGGCCAGCAAGCTTAAACTAGACAAGTCATTTCCAATTCTGGGTCGCTCCTTACTGTTAGAAATTTAAAACAGCCTGCCAGGTTAATCTTTCTCACCTATGATTTGCAGAAGTAGCGCAGTGTAGTGATTAATAGTGCGAGCTCTGGCATCATGCTGTCTGGGTTCACCTCCTGGCTGCGCTACACACGGGCCCTGGGATCATGGGAAAGTTTCTTAATTTCTCTATCCCTCAATTCCCTCATCCGTAAAATGAAGATTTTAATGTACCAACCTCATGAGATTGTTGTGAGGATAAAATGGGGTAATACATATAAAGTATTTGTAGGGATCAACTCATATAAAGTGTCTGGAAGATAGCACTCAATGAACGCTAGCTCTGTACATAATCTGAGTGTTCCCAAGCCCAGAATCCAGATAAAGGGAGTAACGTATGCAGAAGTGTGAAGCATAGTACACCCAGGCAGGGGCAGATGGCTCCGGGCCGCCAAAGTACAGGCGTGTGCAAGAATCGACAGGGGCCAAAGGGATGTGATAGAAGCAGCAAGAGATGACCGTGAGGAGGGTGTGGGTGTCCACATAACCGTGGTCTTTGTGTGCCCTTTTGAGAGACCGGGCTTTATCCTTAAGGTAGTGGGAAGCCCCCAAGGCCTAGAAGGACCTGTGTTGCCGTGTGGAGCTAAGTTGGAGGGAGGCAGGATTTGAGTCAGGCCGGTAAAGAGGTGATTTCCACTGTCCAGGGCTTGAGCGATAACAGCTAATGCTGAGGTAGTACCTACCCTCTAGCTCTCTAGGTAGATCAATTCATGGGATCAGCTAAGGCAGAGGCAAAGGGCATTACAAGGAAAATCCAGGCATTGGCACTGGCTATACACCCAGGTGTCTGCTGAGGACTATGCTAGGCTGAGCACCTCCCAATCCAGCGACATGTCTCGGGCCCTCCTCACCTGCTCTGGGGCTAGCCTGGTTGCTATTCTGTGGCTTCCTGAGGACAATTTTGAGGCGGAAGATTTAAAAATGGGCCGCATAGTAGAGGTATCACAGAGACGCTCCTAACAATTCTACAGTCTCCGTGAGTGAGCGTCCTAGAGGCAGTCACCCCTGACTCCTGACAGTGCCAGGACAGTGCTGAAATGGTCCTTTCTGAGGGGTCCCTTTCCAGTACAACCAGGACGAAGCAAGGGTTGCATCCAACCTGACAACCACACTAAAGGGGGAAGGCTCTCTATTGGTCATCTTGAATCAGCACCCCCAGCGTTCCTTCTGTAATTCCTTTCTTCTTAAGGTAAGAGTTGCACAGTGCGATCAGTTAGCCAAATGTCCATTAGGTGTCTCCCCTGCCATACACTGGTACTGAGTTCTGGCAGCCAGAAGCGGAGAGCCCTGCTCCAGGCTGTTCTCTCAAGCCTACCTCTTCCCTTCCATAAGAGCAGATAATACATGGCTTTTTAAATTTAACATTTATAGATTCTAGCCTGATGTAGGATAGGATTAAGGAGAGAATCATAGGGTTATGGTACAGATTTCTTTAAACAAACATTGACAGTAGTTTATAAACATCGCACCCACAGATTACATTCTATAGGCTCTGTGAAATTATAGGGGAAATGATTGAGAACAAGAAGGATCTTTTGACATCCTTCTATTCAAACCATGCCAGTCGCTATTGGTTTTGCCAAGTATTTGGCTTTTCAAAGAATTATCCAAGAGGCAGAAGACGTCAGAATACCATAGTTCCAACACCTCAGTTTATGCTTTGGGAAAACTGTTGAGTTAAATAGTGAAGCATCATTTGTACCTTAAAATGGAGCAGGAAAAGTGAAGAGATGCTATACTTTGTAATCTGTGGTCACTGTTTCAAAATTCCAGAGCTTTTCCAACAACAGGAAACTAGACCAAAGCGTAAACAACTAATAGTTGACAGGTTAATATGGAAGTCTTTAGCCATCAGCCGTAATTAAGTAGTATATATAAAAATGCCATTATAGCCAGTAATTATTGGTAATAATTATTTGTTAGACACCCACGCAGTTTGCTGACTTTTTAAAAATCAATTTCTATCATTTGGAAGTCATTAACAAGTGGTTCCTTCTGTTTCAGATCTTTGGCATGATATTCAGCATGGTTCTTTGCTGCGCAATACGAACCTCACGAGATATGATATGAAGCTACTTCTACATGAAAATTGCAATCTAGAGCCTTCATACGGCTGTCACCGGAACTGTCTCCTGGCTCATTTTTAATATTCAAAGGACATTAGGATCTAAAATAATATGCTGTTAATTGTACATTTGCACATGTATGTATGTTTGGCTCATTATTCGTTTACCCCTTGAGTGAATGCTGTGTATGTTGACAGAGATTCACGTGTGGTCTGTGTGTTTCTGGTGTATGCATTGTACATAATGAAATCTGTTTGCTGGAAATTCCTGGTTCTTATTATATCAGAGGAACAACCTATTTGACTCTCAGAAAAAGATCATCAAACTTTGATAAACTTTAGAAACTTGGCTATTCAGAAGAAATGATAATGGGTCATTTTCTCAGATTCTAGCCATAGAAAGTTAGATACAGAGAATTCAGGATTTCTGCTTAACGGAAGCAATAAGTTACAGGACTTGAGAGATGATGGTGTAGTGCTAAAATTGACTACATCTGAGTTAGGTGTAAGGGTTTCCTGGGATTTTTTTATATACATACTCTACCCAGAACACAGTAAAACACAGTTTTAGAACTAAACACATCTGTAAAACTAAATATAGCATGGAAAATCTAATTTGAATAAGTCATACTTTCCTAGTATTTAAAAACAAAAAACTCCCTCTGAAAGGAGTGATCACACAGACAATCATGTGCCCTATAAAAGTGAGTGTTTTTAGGACTTTTAAAAAAATACCTTTTAGTAACTTTTTAAGGAAATTTTTTGTTCTTATATAAATACATTTAAATATTACTTTATAACTTTCTTTTTCCTGACTCTGCTCTGAACTACAGCAGCCCTCCATGAACAAAAGGGCTTTTATCTCAAATTTTTCCATGTTTCTCCAAATGTACAGATAGAAAGACTAAAGCAAGAGATCTGGCAGTTGCAAATAGTGGGAAAGAGAATTTTTACTGGCACTGCATCTTTGAAATACCTCATAACTTGAGTTTACATATTTTCCTAATTTTTTGTATTTTTCTTATTCACCTAGAGAATTATTCTTCATAGATTTTGACCTACAGTTTTCACCCCTTAAGATAAAACAAAATTCTTCCTAATTCAAACATTATATCATAAGCATCCTTGGCCAAACCAAAAGAAAGAAAAGCATCTACTAGTTGTGTGCACATAGCAGAGACAAGCTAAGAAAATTAAAATACACCCACAGAACAGAAATATTTTTTTCTGTGTAAATCTCCTATAAAAATAAATTTTTCATATTCTTTATGGTCTTGATGCTTCAATTTAGGTAGGTAAACCCAAATTTAGAATCTAAACTTATATGTTTGTCAATTTTCAACAACTTAGTACATTTAGTAGATCATAGAGGGGGTTTTTTATTACACTTTAAAAGGCCACACAAAAGTGAAAGTACTGGGGACTTTGGAAACCATGTAAGTTCCTATGCCTGTGAGAACACAAGTCTTTGGGGATGCACTAAAGGAAAGCGTGCACTCCCAAGAAACTTTTACAAAACGTTTTGCTGAAAAGACTTAACCACTACAAATAGTCTTATTGGCATAGAGAACCACACTTCTCCTGCCATACTTGCTACGGCTACGAACTTTGGAGGAAGGTTTTCTGGAAAAAAAAAAAGTCAGATTGGAAGCAAGCTAAAAATTTAATTGTACATGGCTACTTCACTGTGTCTATAGCTAAAGAAAAGTTTATTTTAACAAAATCACTTCATGAAATAGATGTTTATACTCCAGTAGGTGAGAAATGTAACCTTTTAAGCAAAGAACAAAGAGCCCATCTCTCTTCATGGCTGTAGTTCATCCTCTACCTGAAGACAGGCCCAAGTGCATACGTTTCTTCCACCTCAGAATCGTCTCTGATTCAAACACACTGAGTTTCATTCTATACCTGATTAACAACCTTAAGAAGACTACAATACTTAAAAGTGGGGGAGTGGAGATCTGTTCCATCTATGGTTAATGTGTCCCTTTGGGGAGTAGTTTTTCCAAAATCTGTGCCATGAGTAAAATTAGAGAATTCCACCTCTGAGTGAGGGCAGATTTTTATATATCGTAAATCTATATATATCTTGAATTCCTATATATCTTGAATCTATATGTGTCTTGAATCTATGTATCTTGAATATATAACTCTTGAATATATATACATATATAACTTGAATATATGTATGCACGAGTGTGTGTGAATACAGACATATTCATGTATACATATATGGGTACATATATATATATACATACACACACATATATATAAATTTTTGGTTATATCTGTTTATCTGAACTGATTTGAGATCAGACCCAAATATATTCTTAAGCATCTGGTACCAAGGCACTGAATTAAAATTTCTTGATGAACTATTTTAAGTTATTTCAAATTAAATTTTCTATGTACTGGAATTGCTTGTTTGATTTCTCTTAAAATTCTATTATATCTTTTTTAAAAGGGATTTTTTAAAAGATTTTATTTATTTATTTGACAGAGGAGACACAGCAAGAGAGGGAACACAAGCAGGGAGAGTGGGAGAGGGAGAAGCAGGCTTCCCGCGGAGCAGGGAGCCTGATGCGGGGCTCGATGCCAGGCCCCTGGGATCATGAGCTGAGCCGAAGACAGGCCCTTAACGACTGAGTCACCCAGGTGCCCCAAAATTCTAATATATCTTTATACACATCTTTACACAATTTATCTAAATGTCCAACTACCAAACAATATGGTTAAAAAAAAAAAAAAGGAAAGAATAGTAACCCTTCTGTAGTGTGACTATGAGGAGCTAGACTTAAAAGCAACCCTAAGGAATTTTGTGCAAATAGATTTCAATTCACACTGTCTCATCCAAACTATACTATCCAGAATAGCTCCTTTGTTGTCCAGGGTTCAATCTGTAAAGCCACACACTGGTACAGGGACCAGTGTAGTCCCCCGCACAGTCATCCAAGAGAGTTGCTCTCCTTTCCCCGTGTGCCCCGTTAATAGGTTTGCTTGATGAAAACGAGGCTTGTGGGAAAAAGGCAGTGAAGGAGATAGCGTATCTTCCCAAGTCAGTATCAAAGATTAAAAGGAAGAGGCACCCTTGGGAGTCAGGAGCTTTCCTGGTTCACTGCTCCATTGACAACCCCTTTGGCCACCAGCCCCTGATTTCAGCAACCCTATTTTACCCACCCCTATGAGGGAGCATTCCTGGGCCCCTAAGCCAGCCAATTAACTGCATCATCTTAATTTGGACTTGTCAAAATCAAATTTATATTAAGGTATATTTTAAGGGGCACAAAAAGTTTCTACTTTCTTTCAACATGACTATTTTTTCCTATAAAATGTACCTGAAAGTTATTATCTGTAGGCATCCATTGAAAGGTAAAAAGACGGGGTGCCTGGGTGGCTCAGTTGGTTAAGCGACTGCCTTCGGCTCAGGTCATGATCCTGGAGTCCCGGGATCGAGTCCCGCATCGGGCTCCCTGCTCGGCAGGGAGTCTGCTTCTCCCTCTGACCCTCCCCCCTCTCATGCTCTCTCTCTCTATCTCATTCTCTCTCAAATAAAATCTTTAAAAAAAAAAAAGAATGAAAGGTAAAAAGACTACACTAATGCAAAATGTTATTAATCATTTTGTTGATATCCTCACTGTCAAAAAAGTTAAATACATCCCAGGAAACCACTATTCCAATGGCTCTCTCCTGGGGATACGGAAAGCATGAAGTATAGAAGTAATATGTCCTGAATGCTGCAAAGCAAAATCTGTGCTGATTTCATGAAATTTTTAGCTAATGTGCCAAAAACCCATCTGAAGCTTTGGGATTTGTTTTCATTGGTTTTTTTCTTGTATAATTTAATGTTGGTTTTACTTATATTAAATAGAAGAAATTTAAATTAAAAGAAATAACCAACTATGAGGTAGCAAACCTGGCAATGAATGAATATTATCTAAATTGTTACAATTATTATATTGATGATAGTTTCTGTTAATTATAAATCAAATATGCATCATCATGCACAACTGAAGATACTTCTGCATGATACCAAATACCTATTTGAACACATTCATTTGTTGAATTAATGAATAACTTTTGATATATTTCCCAATTCTATTTTAATTCAAAGACTTGATATCAATAGCCATAGTCTGAGTCCCTATATTTTCCTCTGGGCCTGCTCTGCCTTATAAGATGCAACCCACTCTAATATTAGATTTTTGTTTACTTTGTTTGAGGACTACTATTTTATACATTTGAAAAAACTCTTTAGAAGATAGTGATATGCTAAGATGAATAAGAGAAGTCTGCCTTCAAGGAGCTTCGACTGAGACAAAAACAGGCAAATATAATTCCCATGAGGTAAGTGCTATGATATTCATTAACCAGAAGTAGACCCTCTCTATCTTGGAGAGGCTGATCAGGGGAGAGAGATTTTCTGAATTTTGAGATCTCTAAACTGAGTCCTGAAGAACTCATACAAATTATCCAAATAAAAAGTAATAGCAGCAGAGAAGAAAAGTGGATCACTGAGGTAACGACATCAAGAAGACCCTGAAACAGACAGCATGGAAGCATTCCAAGAGGACATGTCAAGAACTGGGGAGATGAAGGGCCCCGTTAAACTGTACCAAGGAGTCTTATCTTTGTACGGCCATCACAGCAAAAATTTTAAACAATGAGTTACAAAATCAAATTTGAACCTTTTAAAAATCACGTAGCTTTAGTATGAACAATGATTGGAGGGCAAAGGCCAGAGGATTTCATGAGGATTTCTAACTAACATACTGGGATTCCTACCAAGAAGTAGACAGATATAGGGGCAATTGAGGGAAAGAGGAACCTGGAATCATTCCCAGGTTTCCTGACAGCTGAAGGATGGTGGTGCCCAGGAGAAAAAGCAGACTGCAGTGATGAAGCAAGTTGGAGATGACTATAGGACATCCAAGAAGAAACATAATCAGGCACTGGATACATACCCTGAAGCTCAGGAAAGGAGTCCGAGCTGGAACTATAGTTTAGGAATCTGCAACATAAAAGTGAAATGCCCATATTTGAACAATATGGGTAGCCTTTCACATTAAAGACCTCAGTGAGAAGTTTTCAAAAACTAGAATCCTCTACTCCAGTAAAGTTTAAAGCCCGAAACAGTTCTATACTCCCCATCCATTCCTCCATCTCAGGCTGGAGGGTCTCTATCAGCTACCCGCACTCCTTCAGTAGCTGCCATCTAAATCATCTTTTATTGAAATGGGTAGTTTCTCATATGTTCTACATTTAACAGGGTCCAAGGGTCAATAGAATACATAAGATTATCAGAACACTAGCCCTTCTTTCACAAAATGTGCAAATTTCACTCCTATAGCACAAAGCAAAATTACATTTTCAGAAGAAGTACAGTTCAGAACTACATTACAGTTGCCTGCTAGACCATAGCATGGATTTCTACTCATCATAGAGAAGGGTAGCAAGAAAAGGCATGAAAAGAGAAAATGTGGACTTCGGCCTCATTAGGACTGATGATAAATGCCATAGATGTATTATGTTATGAATCCAGATATATGACCTCCACTGGGCCTTCTAGGGTAACACAGTGGTCAGAGAAGATAAGGACCTGTATATTGGACTATTAGTAAGTCATTGTCAACCCCCACTGGAAACAGTTTCAAGGGAAGATGGGAGTGGAAGTCAAATCATAGTAGGTTGAGAAGAAAATGAGAAGTGAGGAAATAAATGGTCAGTGTAGGAGGCTTGTTATAGTCTGAATGTTTATGTCTCCTTAAAATTCATGTGTTGAAATCCAAAGGCCCAATGTAATGGTATTAGGAGGTGAGGTCTTTTGGAGATTCTTAGGTCATGAGAGTAGAGCCCCCATAAATGGGATTAGTGTTCTTATAAAAGAGGCCCCACAGAGATCTCTTGGCCCTTCCACCAAATGAGGACACAGTGAGAAGGACCAATTATGAACTAGGAAAAAAATCTCTCAATGGAACACAACCACGCTGAGCACCATGACCTTGAACTTTCCAGCCTCCAAAATAGTTTCTGTTGTTTATTTATTTTTTTTTAAGATTTTTATTTCTTTTTTGACAGAGAGAGAGAGACAGC